CGCCATGGTCTCCAAATTTCGCCATGGTTCTCCAAATTTCGCCACGGTCTCCAAATTTTACCACGGCCTCCAATTTTCGCCACTGTTCTCCAATTTTCACTATGTTATCCAAATCTCACCACGGTAAAGTGCTAAGCGCCCAATGATCTCCATGTTCTCCAAATTTCGCTATGTTCTCCAATGTTCGCCACTAGATAGTGCTTAACACTCTCATGTTCTCTAAATTTCTCCAAGTTCTTCAAATTTAGCCATATTCTCCAATGTTCGTCATGGTATAGTGCTAAGCACTCTCCATGTTCTCCAAATTTTGCCATGTTATCTAATGTTCACTACAGATAGTGCTAAGCACTCTCTATGTTCTCTAAATTTTGCCATGTTCTCCAATGTTCTGCCATGGTATAGTGCTAAGCACTCTCCATGTTCTCTAAATTTCGCCATGTTCTCCAATATTCATCACTAGATAGTGCTAAGCATTCTTCATGTTCTCCAAATTTTTCTATGTTCTCCAATTTCGCCATGGTATAGTGCTAAGCACTCTCCAAAATTCAGAACGATTAATTGCTAAGTACTCTCTCCATTTTAAGTACTCAAAGACTTCCAAATTTTACTCCTATGTCCAAAGCTAAGCACAAAGATTTCATCCTTTATAAAATATGAATAAACTCCAAATAAACATGAACTACTCCGCAGGATATAAAATTCACCGATACATTGCTCCGATAAACTTCGCTTTGTTTTCTTCATCATTGAGTTCATATATTTTATTTTTAAATCATGTACTACCCATCCTACATATTTGTATTGCAGATCATCGTCCTGGTGGTCGCACCATCCGCCTTCGGATTTCTCCGCCGATCAATTGGTCGGACCACTAGGTTCATGATTTCATCGTCGCACCGCTATTCTGACTGTTCGGCATTCACTTCTACTCGGCAACACTTCGCCGCCGCCGGACCAGCTTGGTTGGGCTGCTTTGCAAGACTTGATTCTTCGCCAACCAATTGGTTGGATTGTCTGTTGCTTCATCGTCAGTTACGCTGGAGGCTTGCCAGCTAAGCTGGGGACTTCGTTTGCCGATTCACTTGTTGGCTTACTACGTTTTGCCGACGCTGCATGTCATGTATGATATCAAGGTCTTCCATGTCGTTTTATTAGGTGCCGATCTTGGGCAAAGATGTCGTGGGCTTTGATAAGTATATCTATCGCAACAATCCAAAGGCAAACACTTTTCCGCTTTTCTCCATGTTTTATTGCTCGATATTATCGAAGTTTTACTCCACATGCCCAAAGGCTAAGCACGGGACTTCATCCTCTATACTTAATTCTTTTGATCCTCGCTACAAGATGCAACTTTATCTTACAAAGAAGCCTTGGGTTTCAATGTGTACACTTCACCGGCGGTGAGTGTAATTTTCACAAATGGTCGAGAATATATTATTTGATCTCAATATTAATAATGTTTTTTGATCCTGCTACAAGATGTTTCTCTATCTTACAAAGAGGTTCGGGATTAAGGTGTACACTTTCACCTTACGTATGAGTGTACTATTTTTCTCCTTATCGGTTTTCAGCCTGTTTCGATGACTAGTTGTGTGCCTCGGCTAAGTCGGAGTTGGTTATTCTAACTAAGTGATCGTTGATATTCTTTGATCCCCACACCGATGTCTTCTTTACCTACCGCCGTGCTCGGGATCATAATGTATACATTGCACCTAGCGCGCATGTATCGACATTAACATCCTCCTTGACTAAGTCAAGGATAATGATCATCCGATTTCGCCAATGAAGCCTAAGTGTGTACACTTCACCAAAGGTGGAGAATTTTTAAATTTTAAACTTGAGCTCCTTACATCCTTCCGCAAGACTTACTTGGCTAAGTCCGAGATCAGTCACCGATAAATTGGTCGGGTTTCAATTTCCACTCTGGTCAATTTACCAAGAAATCGGTTGGCACTTCGCTCGTTGATTGATTACTAGTTATTACTAGTTAAATCGGTCGTCACTTCGCTTTTGTTGATTGATTAAGAGTTAAATGGTCGATTGCCGATTTGTTTTGTCGACTCCAAGTTAAACCGCCGAACTTGCTCAAGACGGCATTGCTCAACGGATACAAGGCGTCGGGGACTAGCTATGGGGTATAACCCTGTGTACCATGGTATGGACATGGGCCGCATCAGGGAGGTCCAAATTTATAAGATCAAGGCCTACGATGCCCAATTCAGTCAAGGCACCGCAAGGCAATCAAGACATCTTGGCGATGAAGGAAGATCTGCTTGGATATGCTAGATTCGTATTCCTTGTAAATACTTACCATATACCCGAATAGATATAGGCCTAAACCGACTTATAACCCTACTTCCAGACTATATAAGGCGGTAGGGACCCCTCGAATTCATCCGATATACAATCCAACAAAGACACATGATGTAGGGTGTTACGTCGATCGACGGTCCGAACTCGTCTAAATCGTTGTCTCGCGCTTTGTGTCACCATCCGTTCTTATTACGCCAGCTCTCCACCGATCATCTACTACCGTGGGTATAGCCTCGTAGATTGTCGACCAGATTTCATCGACAGCTTGTCCGACTTGGCGCTTCTTGCGACGGTCATCATAGTGGCGCCCGAGACTAATGGTCAAGGCAAAGTAGGAGCCATACCGCAGACTATTTGTCGAGGAACCGACCGTGATGGTGGTCTAGGCGCGTAGGTGGAGCTGCTGCATTGTAGACATCGCCTAGATGTCCTTGGACACCGTAGAGTAAAGCCACGAGACGATGCACGAAGTCCACCAGAGCCACTCGGATCATCGATCATGGCGGGCGCTGCTGATGGTGTCGCCGATGTCGAACTTCCGGAAGGTGAGGTCAAGAAGGATCGCCATGTCTTAAGTTCCCGCCATCCATGGACTGAGGTGATAGGAACGTGACTACGATGTTAAGGAGGACGAGGGTGGAGGCCGTGGAGGGACGGAAAGGATTGGTGCCGGAGGAGACCAAACTGTGGGACTCCCATGGTCAGAGAGGAGCGTAAGGTGGAGTTGAGGATCAAGAAGAGGTAGATACCATGTAAGAGAAATGAACTATGAGAGAGTCAATGCACAATGTCGCATTACACTCAAGTGGAGGTAGATATACAACAACCGGAGCTTCTCCACGGTTAGTTTATCCTATAATCTAGGCGACGGGAGAGAGCAGCCGGGTCAAGCATCGCTTATAAGAGATAAGACTCTTTTTATGATAGCCCTGAGGCAAGCTTTATTGATTGAAGATAGTTACATCGCCCTCGATAATAATTGAAGAATAAAACTAGGGGATCATCGTCCCCAGATACAATTTGTTCTAGAAATCATAGCTTGCCTAGCTAGCTCATGTGCCACTTTGTTTGCTTCCCTATTTAAGTGCCCAATGGAAATCTTTTGGAATCCATTCCATACTATACTACACTCATCATAAATTGCAGCAGCTGAGTTCGCAGTAAATCCTCCATTCTCCATAGTTTCAACGACCTCCAAACAATCAGATTGAACAAACAATCGATTACCTCCAATCTGTTGAGCTAGCATCAATCCCTCCTTAAGAGCAAAAGATTCGGCCATTGGTGCATCAACGAGATAGGGGATAAAGGTATTTGAAGCTGCGATCATACCTCTAGAACCATCTCGAATAATAGCACCCGTACTGCCGTAGCCATTATCCTCATCAAAGGAAGCATCAATATTCAGTGAGATATAACCTCTCTTGGTTTTTTCCATTCCTGTTTTATCTTAGCATCTTTCTTCATTGCCAACTTATAATTCTTTTTGTTAAAGAAACAATCGCTAATCCTGATCTTGAAAGTGGCGGTACTGTTTCTCCATGAGTTAGCTGTCTTCGTTCCCACCACAGGTACCATCCACCAGTCAAGAGAAGTTCAGCAAAACCCACATTTAGATCATAAATCTGCTCACCTCTATTAATTATTTCTTCCAACACAACAGATCCCGATTGGTCAGCCTCCAGCATATATCGAATTTTCTCCCAGATTCCTATCGATCTCCATACTGCTTTGGCTCGATCACAAGTGAAGATCAAGTGTTTAATGTTTTCTGCTCCATTCTGACAGACTGGGCATCCTCCATCAGGAACAATATGCCTATTTGCTAATATAGCATTGCACGGCATCATTTCCTTAATAGCTCTCCAAGCAAAATTTTTTATCTTCCCCGGCAAATCGAGCTTCCAAAGATTCTTCCAAATCCGGCAATTGCTAGTACCACTATCCTGCATAGTAGCCATTCTAGCTCCAAATTTCTTTTTCCATTGGACATGATAAGCTGATCTGACTGAGAACATATCGTTTCTATTATAGTGCCAAGCAACGCAATCATCTCTCCCTGAAGTAACAGGTATCTGTAAAATGCGATTGGCATCAACCTCCAGGATAGAGCGTACCAGATCCTCATCCCATGAAGCATTCACTGGATTAATAAGCTCATCCACCGTACTGACTAGATTGTTCCCTCTAAGTGTCTGAACTTTCATGTTATGGCTGCCAGGTATAAGAGGAACTAATACTGTCTCAACGACAATTAGCCTATACTGTCTCTCTGACATTAAGCAAAAGACTCGCCGAGACTAATATAAGAGGGATGTTTGGTCTCCGCAGATCCGACGGCAGCAAATGAACCTCATTCAGATCGGAGGGTAGAGACTAGACTAAGCTAGGCTAGTTGGTCTGGTGCGGCTGCACTGCACCCACCTGCAGTTTCGCTGGGATCTCAATTTCATCTGGGAGAGGGCGGGCGAGATCCATCTCCATTCCCTCCGTCCTCTTCCTCCGATCCACCGTCCCCCCACCTGCCAGGGCCGCCGCTGCCGAGAGCGAGCGGACGTCTCCCTCCCCAAACGAGGGAGGAAGATGCTCACCAAGTTCGAGAGACCAAGAGCAACCGGGTCAAGGGCCTCGCCTTCCACCCGCGCCGCCCATGGATCCTGTCCAGCCTCCACAGCGGCGTCATCCAGATGTGGGACTACCGCATGGGCACCCTCCTCAACCGCTTCGACGAGCACGACGGGCCCGTCAGGGGCGTCCACTTCCACGCCACGCAGCCGCTCTTCGTGTCCGGAGGTACTATTCCTCGTCTTCCACTCGGGTGCTCCAGTCCACTGGATCGTCGCTTCACCTCACATCACCTGGATCGTCACTTCACCTCACCTCACCTCACCTCACTCCACCTGGATCGTCGGTCGGTCTTTTCTGCGTTTATTAGTTCTGATGCCGTTCCTGGAGGGGTTTTCCAGCTTCGAATGTTATGTTTCAGTATCGATATGAATTCTTAATAAAATTCCTAAGTTTCAATGTGAACTATGACGCCCTGATCTTTGCACTCAGTTCATCTTATTTTGATCCCACGTTCAGCCTAACGTGAAGAATGTCTGAACCACTTGTCGTGGACAGTTGAACAGTTTTCCCCTAGAAATGTGCATCTAGAATTAATGATTGATGCTATTTTGAGTTTGCTGTGTACATCTGAAGAAAATGCATCTGATCTCAGTTTTGAGTTTTGCTGTATGTGATTACAGTGAGGTCTCTGTTTTCCATCCGCTAGGGAAGTTGCTCTGTGGTGGCAATCTAGTTAGTTCAGAATTCAGATGAGGGTTGTCCGGTTAAACATGTAAAACTCTGTAGCGTTAGCTGCCTGTTTACTGTGGTAATCTAATTAGACTTTGACATGTCACGATTGAACTTACAAATCTACTGAGATCTTAGTTGCTGTGATGGAATGCAGGTGATGATTATAAGATCAAGGTCTGGAACTACAAGACTCAACGCTGCCTCTTCACACTTCATGGGCACCTCGACTACATTCGCACTGTGCAATTCCACCATGAGTGCCCATGGATCGTAAGTGCTAGCGGCGATCAGACAATCCGATCTGGAATTGGCAGTCACGCACATGTGTGGCTGTGCTGACTGGGCATAACCACTATGTTATGTGTGCATCCTTCCATCCCAAAGAGGATCTGGTTGTATCGGCATCACTGGATCAGACCGTACGTGTGTGGGATATTGGGGCTCTGAGGAAGAAGTCAGCGTCACCTGCAGATGACATCCTCCGCCTCACTCAGATGAACACGGATCTATTTGGAGGTATTGATGCTGTAGTCAAATATGTCTTGAAGGCCATGACCGTGGGGGTCAATCTGGGCCTCATTTCATCCCAGTTTGCCTCTCATTGTTTCTGGGGCGATGACCGGCAGGTGAAGATATGGAGAATGAACGGTAATAGTCTTATCACTAGATGGCCTGCACTTTGCATGGTTTTGGTACTATTCTTTGTGTAGCTGAGCCATAACTATTCAAGATTTTCAGTCCTGAAATGAAGACTTTTAGCTATGAATCTCGACAAATGTTTGTCCAGATTCATAGCTAAAGTGGCAACTATTTTGGGACGGAGGGAGTACGCCAGTATGTATGTTTTTAATCTTCCACATGATATAATTTCCTAGTAATATATGTTTTCTAATCATGGATCTTTTCTTCCATTCTGTACAGCAAATCCTGCATTTACAGAACTTTATACCACTTAATCCTTAGAATGCATATTGCTGGATAATGTAACTTTCTGCTAAATACAAGAGGCATGTCACTAATTTTTATGCTTTGGATTTATTATATTTTAACATCACATGTAAAATGCTCGCTTGGTGGTGAAGTTTAGTGCACACAATTTTGCTGCTCTTTAGCACCTTATATGAAAGAAAAACTGCATTCATTCTTACAAAGGAAATATTTGAAATGCAATAATTTGTATCTGCTCTTTATGGACAGATACCAAGGCTTGGGAAGTTGATACATTGAGGGGCCACATGAATAATGTGTCTTGTGTGTTGTTCCATGCGAAGCAAGACATCATCGTATCTAATTCAGAAGACAAAAGCATTCGCATCTGGGATGCCACAAAGAGAACTGGCATTCAGACATTTAGGCGGGAACATGACCGATTCTGGATCCTTGCTGCTCACCCTGAAATGAACCTTCTTGCTGCTGGTCATGACAGTGGCATGATTGTGTTCAAATTAGAGAGGGAACGCCCGGCCTTCTGTGTTAGTGGTGACACAGTTTTCTATGTGAAGGACCGGTTTCTCAGGTTCTTTGAATACTCCACACAGAAGGAAGTTCAGTTGGCTCCAATAAGAAGACCTGGATCAGTCAGCTTGAACCAGTCACCCAGGACACTATCGAGCAGTCCAACCGAAAATGCTGTCTTGATTTGCTCTGATGCTGATGGGGTTCATATGAACTCTACATTGTTCCCAAGGATTCTGCTGGCAGGTCTGATTACTTGCAAGAGGCAAAGAAGGGAGCTGGTGGTTCTGCTGTTTTTGTGGCGCGCAACAGGTTTGCGGTCCTTGAGAGGAGTAGCAATCAAGTTTTGGTGAAGAATCTGAAGAACGAAATCATGAAGAAAAGCCCCCTTCCTATTGCGACGGATGCAATATATTATGCTGGGACAGGTAACTTGCTATGCAAGGCTGAAGACCGGGTGGCCATCTTTGATCTTCAGCAAAGGCTAGTTCTCGGTGAGCTACAGACACCTGCTGTCAAATATGTTGTTTGGTCCAGTGATATGGAATCTGTTGCACTCCTGAGCAAGCATGCTGTGGTTATAGCTAGCAAGAAGCTTGTCCATCAATGCACACTGCATGAAACCACCCGTGTGAAAAGTGGTGCCTGGGATGAGAATGGCGTGTACATCTACACTACACTGAACCATATGAAGTACTGCCTTCCCAATGGAGACAGTGGGATCATAAAAACCCTTGATGTTCCTATTTACGTAACTAGGGTTATTGGGAACAACATTTTCTGCCTAGATCGTGATGGAAAGAACAAGCTGATTGCAGTTGATGCATCAGAGTACATTTTCAAGCTCGCCCTTCTCAGAAAACGCTATGATCATGTCATGAGTATGATTAAGAACTCCCAGTTGTGTGGGCAGGCTGTGATTTCTTATTTACAACAGAAAGGTTTTCCAGAAGTTGCTTTGCACTTTGTGAAGGACGAAAAGACCAGATTTAACTTAGCTCTTGAGAGTGGTAACATTCAAATCGCAGTTGCTTCTGCAAAGGAGATTGATGACAAGGATCACTGGTACAGGTTGGGAATTGAGGCCCTGAGGCAAGGAAATGTTGGTATTGTGGAATATGCATACCAACGAACAAAAAATTTTGAGAGGCTTGCTTTTCTGTATCTCATTATTGGTTACTTGGACAAGGTGGGCTTCATGTGCAAAATTGCTGGACAGAATAATAATTTGATGGGACAATTCCACAATGCATTGTATCTTGGGGATGCTAAGATGAGAGTTGAGATCTTGGAAAATGCTGGGCAGCTACCTCTTGCTTATGTTCTTGCTGTCACTCATGGGCTCACTGAAATTGCTGAGAGGATTGCTGCTGAATTAGGCGAGAATGTTCCTTGTCTGCCTGAAGGAAAATCACACTGCTACTGATTCCCCTGCACCTCTCTCTCAGCCTGTGGTGATTGGCCATTGCTGAGGGTAATGCGTGGTATTTTCAAGGTGGACTGGATGCTACTGGAAGGGCAGAGCTTGAGGAAGATGATGAAGCTTCTGGTGCTGACTGGGGCGATGAAGACTTGGATATTGTTGATGCAAGTGAGGTGGTGGCAAATGGTGGCGATTATTTTTTGATGCGGAGGAGGGTGAACCAAATGAGGAGGATGGTGAGGAAGGTGGCTGGGACCTGGAAGATCTGGAACTTCCACCTGATACAGAGACTCCAAAATCTGCTGGCAATGCTCGCTCTGCTGTATTTGTCGCTCCAACAGCAGGCATCCCTGTCAGCCAAATCTGGACACAAAAATCTTCTCTGGCTGGGGAGCATGCGGCTGCAGGGAACTTTGACACAGCAATGAGGTTGCTTAGCCGGGCAGTTGGGCATCAAGAACTTTGCTCCGCTTGAAGCCCTTGTTTCTTGATCTGCATATGGGCAGTCATTCATATCTGTGTGCACTTGCTGCTGCTCCGGTTATATCTGTTGCTGTAGAGAAAGGTTGGAATGAGTACGCAAGTCCTAATGTAAGAGGCCCTCCTGCACTTATTTTCAGTTTCTCACAAATGGAAGACAGACTCAAGGCTGCCTACAAAGCCACAACTGAGGGCAGGTTCCCAGAAGCACTGAGGCAGTTCCTTAACATCTTACATACCATTCCTGTAATCGTTGTAGACTCACGGAGAGAAGTTGATGAAGTGAAGGAATTAATCGAGATAGTGAGGGAGTATATTCTTGGTCTGAAGATGGAACTCAAGAGAAAGGAATTGAGGGATGATGTGACCCACCAACAGGAGTTGGCTGCTTACTTCACAAACTGCAAGCTTCAGAGAATTCATATGAGGCTTGTGCTTGCAAGTGCCATGGCTCTTTGCTTCAAGCAGAAAAACTATGCTACTGCAGCACACTTTGCAAGGATGCTTCTTGAGAACAGCCCTCAAGAGGCTCAAGCAAGGAAGGCTCGACAGGTGCTGCAAGCTTGCCAGGATAAGGATGATTCTCACCAACTGAACTATGACTTCAGAAACCCATTTGTTGTTTGTGGCGCTACATATGTTCCTATCTACCGTGGCCAAAAGGATATTTCTTGCCCATATTGTGGATCCCGGTTTGTTCCTTCCATCGAAGGGCAGCTTTGTACCATATGCGAGCTTGCCATAGTTGGGGCAGACGCTTCAGGCCTGCTCTGCTCCCCTACGCAGCTGAAGTAGACGGTAGGTCTTCTATATTCTTTCTACTGTCTTAAAGTTCTAAGACTATCATATATTTTACCTGGAAGTTCAGTGATTACAAGGAATAAGTATATAAATGGTTTTACTGAATTGTTCTTTTTTTCGCTTTTGTTTGCCTAAAGTCTGCTGTTATCACTTGCCATATGCTTAAGGACTGTTGATTGACCCAAGGAAGCTATGCTGAGTATGAGATGTTTCTTTCACACTTCAAAATTCCTTTTGGGTGTCTTGGGCTTGCATTCAATTTATAATCTGGTTCTGATCTTTGCTTGATACGTGGCTTTTTATGTGATACTAGATTAGACTTTATGTAATTGCATGGTTGCAAACGTAATCAAGTCATATATACTGCATGAACCATTGCATTGCTTTGTTGGGCCTTAAAGAATTTGTTGATGAACATCAGGTGGCAAGTAGTAGGTCTCTTCAATGTTCTTTTTTACTACCTTGAATTATGAATGCAAAGTTTCTTAATTGACAACATATTTAAATTGTCTGCTGGCTCTGTTTGGTTAAGCTAGATCTCTTCTACTACCTGGCTCTTGATGACTAAGGGACTCTTTTGCACCCATTGTTTGTTTTAATTGCTCTGTGGAACTTGTTTGCTTAGAGTCATGAGTGATGGATGATGGTTGTTTGTATCTTATAATGCCAATTACCTTCAAATTTTATCTGGTTTACTCAGTTTGCATATCCAATTAATCTCTTCAGATAGCTGTACTTGCTGATATTAGCATTCTGCCCTTAGAGCTATTTGATGTGACATACAATTTCATTTTATATTCTTAGTTTTTATGAAAGTAAGCATCTATTGTACTGTCTTGACTCCTGCACTGGCCTGATCCTAGTCTTGAATATTAGAATTATATGTCGTAGCTGTCGTGCAGTTTGCATCTCCATTTCTAAAATTTTATTAGGATGTGATTAGAAACTCTTGCATCTAGTGTACTGTTCTGCAAAGCCGATCATGGTCTTAGCTGATTGCCTTATCCTAATCCTAGAATGTACTTGTAATTCCTTATCTAGAGTACTTCTAGGATTAGGATAGAATTAGTAGAATGTACTCTAGTAACTCCTTATCGAGAGTACAAGGAATTTGTCATAGCTATCTTGCAGTTTGTTGTATTTGTGACTATTGTTGAATCGTGTGGTATTACCGTCTGCTAACTTAATTTACTAGCCTGTATACAGATTGATGTGGGATTATAGCACAAGTAGCTCTTTTTTTTTTCGAAGTATGAAATGTTGATTTATATATGTTATGACCAATATTGGATGTCACTGTACTGGACGGGATGAAGGGAAGAATGCTTCGTGGTGTTGATATACGTGCATGCCTGCTTATCTGTTTGTTTATATTTGGCTAGCAATTCCTTTCCTCTTTAGCCAAGTGTCTAACATTCAGTTTTTACAGTTCGAATTTGTAATCTTGGCTTAATAATTGTCATTAGGTGAGAGAATGCGGTTGAATGACTTTTTGACGCTGATTGCAGATGTTAGTTTTCCTCCTCCTGTCCGCATCTTCAGCAGTACCATCTCGCAATGATGTTTGGATGTCTCGATCTGGAGGGGATCAATCAATTCACCAAACTTATCAACGCTTCAGCCCTTCAGCCTCCATGGCATTCCTAATTTTGGTCTGGAGGGGATCAATTCATCTTGGTCTTATCTCAATTATCGTGGCTGCGATTTCAGCTCTGTTTTGTATACCTATTGATGTACAATAGCTGATGTGAATGCTGGGTCACTGAACCCAATTTTCTGTTTATGGCATATGCCATCTTGATCTCTACAGTTTTAACACTGAACGCCCTGTTCGCTCGAACTTATTCAGAACTACTTTCTAGCTATGGAACAGTGTTTTTCTCTTATAACATTTCAGCATAAGTATCAGCATAAGCCAAATTTCAGCATAAGCGAACAGGGTTGAATGATACACAACTTTCTTATCACTGAATTGATGGGTAATAATTGCAATGTCAATATTTTTTGTCCAATTTATATGATGGTCAAGTCATTCGTGGGTTTGCTTCATTTTGCAGTGCCACTACTGACCCGTCAGCGGGCATTTCATTTAGTCGCTCTAACTGATTGACGTCGAGTATGCGATACCATTTGTCCATTTCTTGCATAGCTGAATTTTTTTTATAACTATTGCATAGCTGAATTAGCAATTGCTGAGATACTCTAATGGCTGTGGCTTTTCTGGTTTTGTGCCAATGAAACGTGTCTATTTCAAAGCCAAGTCACACAAGTATGTGGTACATGGATATAGTTCCACCGCCTCAAGGATAAGTGCATAATTCCACATAGAGAATAGGCAGCAGATAAGTGCATAGTATACTGTATACCACATATGACAGTACACAACAAATGTTGTATCCAAGTGACTTCAAGTACCCATCGATGAAACAAATAGAAATGTTTTAAATGACAAGTCAAAATAGTCAACATGACACTATAATTCAGTTTCCATACTTGTCATTTGCTCATTCCACATCCTCTTGAACCATTTGAGCCTAATCTCATTCATTAGTTGGAAGGACCATGAAAATATCTCTTTGGCCTTGCTTCACCAATAACTCATGGCATTGTATGCTCACGGAGGACCACAAGAACAAGACCCATACATCGTTTACCCTTAATCATAGCTTGTTTCCTTGAAGTACAAGAAGTTGCTTGTTCAGTTATCTTTGTGACTTACTCTTGAATAACAGGTGAGGTCATAGACTTGGGCTTCTTGGCTTTTTGTAGGACAACCTGAGGTCTTTCTTTGCATTTGCAAGGGAATGTGAAACCTCCTCAATCTAAACTCCATTGTTTGTGGCATCATGAATCTCCTCATCCCTCCTCTAGCCACATTTGGCCCTGTTCGCTTGTTTTATAAGCCGTACTGTTTCAACGAAGGATTAGTGTTTATCTCTTACAATAAACCAGCGAACAGTAATTTCAGCCATGACTTTTCAGCGAAGCGAACAGAGCCATTACCAAGATCAGTGGGGATTTCTTGCACTAGGGTATCATGTGTGCCCATTCTCATAGGATTCATCATTAGTGATGCCACATCTTCATTTCGAAGTGGTTGGTTCTTAAACTTTATGCATCCTAAAATTCCCTAATAATTTTTCACAAATAGAAAAGGAGGCATAAGTAGTGCCAATTAAAAGATATATTTGAATGAGTTTGCTACAACGCTCACCACCCTTGTTGCCTTCCCGTCACTCATTTCCCATGATAATCACACCCTTTAATTTTGAAATTGTCAGTTTGTCACATCTAGTTCCAGTCTAATTCTTCAATATCTTTGCCGTTCTGCTAAATCAATATTCAACTTGTTCTTAAGTTGAACGTTGCACATAAGTCAAATCAGTGAGCTAGAAAAACATATATGAAACCTCTTGATGACCTATAGAGTTCAAATGGGTGTTCGGTGGATTTTCTTTCCTAACTTGTTCGGCAAACAACTTATAAAATATAAACAAGCCTTGTGTTGTCATTTCATGAACGGATTGAAATAAGGCTCATCAACGGATAAAAAATAGAAGGTTACTACTGCCAATGTTATTAACTTCATATGTATTTGAAACTGCCTATTATCATAATCATGTATAGAAATATATTTGTCTAGCTTAATCAATTGCACATTTTCATAGCTAAGAAATATATTATGATGTTAACTATGTATCATTCATACACACGAAACCAAGGATTTGTTTGGGTCAACTTTAGTTTATAGTAATCTGATAAAATAATCTCAAGGTGATCAAACACCCTAGATTATTGGTTGAATTATAATAATCCAACCAACAGATTATTAGGATAAAAAAATATTACATGTGGGACATATTCTATCTTTTTTCTCTTACTTTCGTCTTTAGCTAGCTTGGTCAACAGGGCCGTTGAAGACGTTTGTGACCAAATTGCTTTGGGATTTACTCCTGGCTAGTCCTTGCTATTTTAAGACTTATTAGTTTTCTGTTAGGTTACAACCTAATTACCTATGTATAGCCGAGGCCAAGAAACGTCTATAACAACTACCGGTTTTAACAAAAACAACCTCCCTCTTTCTCGCACTCACATATTGGCGTGCACACACACAAACACATCTGGTGTCAACTCATACTTCTTTTTTTAGATAATATGGAGAAGCTCAAGCTCCTTCCAGTGTGAACTTATACTTCTTTTGTAGATAAACAGAAACATTTTGGACCTACATCCTCTTGACATGTGTTTTTTCTTTCACTCTTGTGTTGTTATTATGATTACCATACTCTTTTAATGGGAGAGGTTTATTAAAACCATTATTATTATAATACTAACTATTAATCTCTCACCTCTCAAAAAAAACTATTAATCTCTCCATTCCAATTATAAGACATTTTTCCTTTTTTATATACATAGATTTTGCTATTCACTTAGATATCCACTGTGTCTAGATACATAACTAGCAATGTATTTAAAAAACCAAAACATCTAGTAGAGCTAGAATTGTGGGTTACTTTAATCTCAAAAAAAAAAAAGAATTGTAGGTTACTTTATTGTCTTTTATTTGAAAGCCTTATTTTCATATTGTTTTAGACTAATCTATATCTATATCTATATACATATCTATGTCTATATCTCTACCTCTATCTCTATTTCTCTATCTCTATCTCTATCTCTATCTTTGTCTACTAAGGAAAGATAGAAAGAACGACAACGACTCGACAAGTCATGGGCTTGGCGGGCGTAAATCTTAACAGAAGACGTAAACCTCGTAACCTACGTAAGCTCTTGGGTCAGGCGGAATCGCAAAAAGCCCGAAACAGAGCGCGTGGAATACTAGTAGTAGTCGATAATTTTTTTTTCCCTATTCCCCGTGCTGCTGTGCTGTCTGCGCCGTGCCGTGCCTCCTCCTTTGCTCCCCTGTCCCTCGTCCTCGACCAGCGTCCCCGTCGCCGCCCTCCCGCCGACCGCTTCATCTGCCGCCGGGAACGAAC